GGTTCGATTCCCACCGTGGCCAGGTATATTTTCAAGCCTTCCCGGTGTGGATATATATACACTCAGAGTAACATCACACAAGCATCTTATTCACCTGAGTACATTTCACCAACACAGCAAATATCATGATTATTAGATTACACTGATATCGAGGGAACTAGAGTCAGTTCCGAAATATCGCATACTCGAACCGATCTGACCGCGTAGCTCAGTTGGCAGAGCGTTGGGCTAGTATTCCAAAGGTCGTAGGTTCGATTCCCACCGTGGCCAGGTATATTTTCAAGCCTTCCCGGTGTGGATATATATACACTCAGAGTAACATCACACAAGCATCTTATTCACCTGAGTACATTTCACCAACACAGCAAATATCATGATTATTAGATTACACTGATATCGAGGGAACTAGACTCAGTTCCGAAATATCGCATACTCAAACCGATCTGACCTCATAGCTCAGTTGGCAGAGCGTTGGGCTAGTATTCCAAAGGTCGTAGGTTCGATTCCCACCGTGGCCAGGTATATTTTCAAGCCTTCCCGGTGTGGATATATATACACTCAGAGTAACATCACACAAGCATGCTAAACATTGTGTCCTGAATACATAAGATTTTAAACCCGCGCCTCATTGGATAGCATATCCTAGACCCTATACAGTAGATTTGAGTTGTTCGAAGGTTAGACTAATCAGCGAAATAAGTTCGTGACGGAGTTGTGGTATTCACATAAATATCCAATGAAGTACTTAACTGAAGATTCTATAAGAATATATCTACAGTATAATGTATTAATGTAACACCGTGCATCTAAAAATATGTTCACAAAATGCACGAAATGCAGTCCTAGGGGTGGAAAAACACAAACATTTTCTGGGGGAAAATCCCCCAGACACCCCTTACTCTTACATACAATAGTGTGGTCCCTCTTTGTAGATTGCTATCGCCCCACGGACAAATTCTTAAAAAAGGCTCTGGCAAGCAATGAATGTTGGTGAGCGTTCCGTATGGTGGTGCATGTGAATGTGATCATTCTTAAAAAATTTAAATTTCGTAAGCAAATAATCATAGAATGTGAACAGCTGTAATAAACAAGTTTACTTTGTTACGTTTGATGATAACTAAAAACTATGAATTATATTTAAAACTGCACGCGCTAATTCAGATACCAGACGCGCAGATTCGAAAACTAGACACAAAAATCCGGAAAATTTTGATCTTGGTTGTGCAATTTGCAAACTTTCCAGTCTGGTGGCTACCCATCCTCTATCATGGTTCAGTTTACAGCAAAGGCAGTAGTAGCAAAACAAATGCTGAGATTCTCCTGGTGATACCTCTTTGCAGGAGCCAAATGTTTGGTTTGCCATAACATAATTTCTGTACTTCATGTTTTTCCGAACATATTTGAGGTATTTAAAAACTTCAAAGAGATACAAACACTGCGTTTTTGGGTTACAGAGTTTTTGGACTTGAACAACAAGTTCTGAAGTTCAAGTTCTCCATTGTAAACTAGATGTCCTGAGTGTGCCTGAGCTATGCCCAAGCAATTTTTTATAGCATTTGATTATTTTGTAATGTATACCCTACAAGATGAAAACTAATTTGAATATAAACGTGTACCAATCCAGGAATCAAAAAATATTTGGCCATTTATGTTGGGTTATGGAATTATTGCCCTTCAGATGTTGGGTGTCATGAAGAAACAAAATGTGAGGGACTTAAATTTACACAAACCATGAATTCTCACCCAAAAATCTAATGATATATTTAAGTTTGGGAGCTCATTTATCATTTTAAGCCACTGCCAAATTTCAAGGTTTTTTATAACATTGATCTTGAGATAGAGGTATTTTTGTAAAAACAGTTGACAGAAGTTGACAGTAACTAAAATTCGCCATTTTTTTGCAACTTGGGGAGTGCCAATGTTGCAACAGTCTGCAACTTAACGAGTTAACAGAGTCCTTGTCAACAACTTGGATCAATCTCTGAAAAACGTACTTGATGTCTCAAACATGAAGCTTCTTCCCACAGTGCAAGACCAAAAACATCAATGCTACAATTACGTTGTCCTAGTTACATGAGATTAAAAAACCCTCCGTATAAGAACCTAGATTTTTCCAATTTAGCCTAAACAGCTTCTTATGTAAATGGTGCTTACCTCACTGTTCATGTCACAAACTGTAATTATATTTAGTATATTCAGTATTTTCAGGAGGGCATACAACCATTTGCAAGCAATGAGTTTGTCAACGGAAACATGTTTGTTTTGACACTCAAACGTTTTCTGGGAGGGGCCAAAACAATTAGTTTTGTGGTCAAAACAGTAAGTTTTGCCTTTGTAACTAAAAGTTTGTGGCTTTATTTTGGAGTTTAAAATCAACGAACATGATAGATATCTTGTTATTCGAAAATGGATTTACAATTAAATAACCTAAAATTCGCTATATAAAATATGAAAGTTACGAAAATATCTAAAATCAGTTAGGGACCATTCATTATTTATACCCTGGGGGGGGGGGGAGATTGTTATGTCATATACAAAAATCTCATAGCCCTCCCCCCTCTTGATGAGCTAAATGTTGAAGACCCCCCCTATAAAATGCTAAAACATCTATACACCTCCCCATTTGTATGAATGTTTTAGTATTGTAAACTCGGAACACTGTATAAGTCAAGACCTAGAACTATTGTTTCCCTTGCATACTTTTGCTATAAAAGTGACAAAGTGGCTATTCATACTGGAACAATATGCCGAGTTTGATTTGCTATTCGTACTGCAGTTGGAATATTTAAAGTGCCCCTGACACAAAAATTGATTTTTTGTGTATTGAAAGTACACATTATGTGGAGTGTTTTGGTGAAAGAATTTTTTTATTTCATTGAAACGAAAAAATTTTAGAGCCGTTTGAACACCCAAAATGTGGGCTTTTTGTTGGCACACGTCCGTGTTCAAAGGAAACTGGAACGAGCGATTTTTGTTACGTCACGCAAGTGAGTCGGGGTATTCTATAATTTATTCGACTGGTACTAACTCTTGGCGCATATAGTCCATATACAAATATACTAGATTTGTGATAAAAAAATATATGCCTTTTTACTATGTTGCAGCTAACTGTACCAATAAACCATGTTTAAAAGATGGAATAAGTTTACACAATATTCCATACTTCAATAACGAACGCGCGGAAGCTACAAGACGAAGAAAAGTATGGGTTTGTTTGTGCCGTCAAAGCACAGATCAAAGCTAGACTTCGACTATATGCTCGGATCATTTTTGACCAGAGGATTACGAGAGGCGATTCTTTTTGTGTCTTTCGTTGACGGGGCTCGGCAAGCCTAACTATCCGAAGGCGAAGCTATTAAAGACTGACGATAATTTGCTTTGTTTTGATGATTCAATTTCGGTTTTACGGGCCCGCTAATAATATAAATATTTTGTAATACCGAAATGAAAGATGCAAATCTGAAGACACAAGCTTGAAAATAACACTCTAAATAGTGTTTTGATTCCGGTTCGAATAAGACTATTACGAAAAAGATATTTCCAAAGGGGCCGAATTTATGATCGGCGAAAGATATGACTAGTTTACATTGTTCGAGACTATAAATTGAGTAATATAATGAATTATGACACCGCTTGACCTATCAAAGTCAAAGACAAAGGTCATAAATAGCTATACCATCTGACTAAAACTATAGACTGTATCTGACTAAAAGTCTAAAACTATCGCTGGGAATTAGGAGATTTTGTTTCACTGAATCGAGTCGCAGTATTTTTGTCTTCATAGCATGCACCGAACCGGAGATATAAACTTTGCAAAGCCATAGAACGTCTACATTAGCAGAGGGCCAGGCAAGATGCGCCAAATCTGAGACGCAGACTAAAAACAGTCGCTAATAATGGGAGACTAGTTTTATTTTATTTTTCTCGTGTCCCCTAGCTTTGTTTACCAACAACAATCCATAGTTTTACTCGTGAAGTGAAATTGTGATAATAGCGGCAGTTTTTCGTCACGTCCGCGTCGTGTAGATTTGGTGGTTTTAATGATAATACTAGGGACCTGGCGTGTTATTGATCAGCATCTTCCAACACAACATATATTAACCAGGTATAAAGTTCGCACTGGAATCATCGGATTGATCGCTACTGTCGGATTCTGTTGTCGACATGATACTTTATAGAACTATGATAGAACTTAGAATATAAAAACACTTCAGCCGTTCAGCGATCAAAACCTTTGAGCTGATCAAAACTGATAAAAGTCTAACAGATCGTCAAGATTTGACTCACTTGCGTGACGTCACAAAAAATGCTATCCCCAGACTCCTGTAGCCGACGTCCATGTGCCAAAAATTTATGTGTTTAAAC